TGTGGGGGGGGAAGAGTGTCAGTGTCAGTCAATTCAAATTCAAATTCACTGCTCTGGCCATGATGAGTTCCCAGATACGTCACCATAACGAGCGCTCACAGTACATGGACTCACGGACTGACTCACAGTACATGTTTCATGGACTGACTTACAGTACATCATAGACTGACTCACAGTACATGTTTCATGGACTGACTCACAGTACATCATGGACTGACTCACAGTACATGTTTCATGGACTGACTCACAGTACATCATGGACTGACTCACAGTACATGTTTCATGGACTGACTCACAGTACATCATGGACTGACTCACAGTACATCATGGACTGACTCACAGTACATGTTTCATGGACTGACTCACAGTACATCATGGACTGACTCACAGTACATGTTTCATGGACTGACTCACAGTACGAGCCACTCTCACAGCCAGCAAGGACGGTCATGCTCACAGAGAGATCTATTACTGTGGGTGGTTGGAGGGCGTCACTGGGTAGGTCCTACTTTAATTTACTTTCCCTTTGTTGTTTTTGTCTGTCTGCCTTACTCTTTCCCAGCACTAAAAAGGGCCATTGAGTCGATGCACTTCTCCTTACTCAAACGTACAAACAAACAAACATCTATTACTTTTACAGCTACTCACTGTCTACCGTATGTGAAAGACGCTGAAAAGCAAAAACAAAACAAACAAATGTGTGAAAAAGACAGCGTCCTCTCAACAACTGACTCCCCAGTCGAACAACTCATCCTCTCAACAACTGACTCCCCAGTCGAACAACTCATCCTCTCAACAGCTGACTTCCCAGTCGAACAACTCATCCACTCAACAACTGACTCCCCAGTCGAACAACTCATCCATTCAACAGCTGACTTCCCAGTCCAACAACTCATCCTCTCAACAGCTGACTCCCCAGTCGAACAACTCATCCACTCAACAACTGACTCCCCAGTCGAACAACTCATCCTCTCAACAACTGACTCCCCAGTCGAACAACTCATCCTTTGCCAAAGGTAAAGTCAAGCCAATAAACCCTACCTATCCCTACCTACTTGCACAGCAGCAATAGCCGTCCATAGCTCTTCAAACCACTCCATATCTTATAACATACATTTGAAAACCTGTGCTATAATTAGTAGAATATATGATTTATCAGCGTGGTTGCAAACTTAAAATGGAGTGGATTCTTAAAAAATCCCAATTAAAAAAAAATCACAAAGTATTAACGTGAGAGCCGACGGGAGCTATCTCGGTTCAACCGATGTGCCTAAAGAAAGAGAAAGTGTAATAGTATTTAGTATACTGTATACCGGTACTGGAATCTTTGAATTGATGTCGGTGTCGCGGGGCTATGGACGGAGACTGGAGACCCACTTTCACCACTTTCCGGCTTTCACACGCCCTGTCTCCCACCACGGCACACTTCATGAGATAGATTCATGGACCCTACATTCATTGATGAATGCCTGTCCTCTCGATGGTCTATCGCGGTGTTTTTGTTCTACTTGACGACCCATCACCGGGTCTGTCAGCTGAGAGTTGTCCCACTTGACGGTACACTGAGAACTGTCCCACTTGACGGTACACTGAGAACTGTCCCACTTGACGGTTCACTGAGAACTGTCCCACTTGACGGTACACTCGTCCACTACAACCCACAATATATTAAACACTTTCCACTGAGGCTGCTATTGGCTGTATTATATATATATATATATTTAGTATTCAAAAGACTGATTTCTGGGGAACAGTGCATCACGGAGCGGGGAAGACAGTAGACAGTAACTGTATCAGGTTTTTACAATTACCCTTCATTGACTTTACGGTAGACTAGAAGAACGCATTATCCTCGTACATATTATAGTGTGATGTAGTTGACAGTCAGGTAGACCATGGTCGGTCAGGCCTGAAAGACTGTATCGTTATTGGCAGTACATGTAGACTGTATCGTTATTGGCAGTACATGTAGACTGTATCATTATTGGCAGTACATTAGACTGTATCATTATTGGCAGTACATGTAGACTGTATCATTATTGGCAGTACATGTAGACTGTATCATTATTGGCAGTACATTAGACTGTATCATTATTGGCAGTACATTAGACTGTATCATTATTGGCAGTACATTAGACTGTATCATTATTGGCAGTACATGTAGACTGTATCATTATTGGCAGTACATTAGACTGTATCATTATTGGCAGTACATGTAGACTGTATCATTATTGGCAGTACATGTAGACTGTATCATTATTGGCAGTACATTAGACTGTATCATTATTGGCAGTACATGTAGACTGTATCATTATTGGCAGTACATGTAGACTGTATCATTATTGGCAGTACATGTAGACTGTATCATTATTGGCAGTACATGTACCGCGCTAGCGGTAGACCTTCGAGTGGACCAGCACCTATGTCGTTCCCTTTGCCCACCAGAAACACAGCACTGTTAGGTAGTCTGAGTAGGGCATGCCACATGAGTCCCTCTCACATAGAGAGATGTACGCGCAAACACAGCACTGTTAGGTAGTCTGAGTAGGGCATGCCACATGAGTCCCTCTCACATAGAGAGATGTACGCGCAAACACAGCACTGTTAGTCTGAGTAGGAGGACATGCCACATGAGTCCCTCTCACATAGAGATATATGTATGCACACGCAAACACAGATCTACACCAAAGCGCAGATACAGACACACACAAAGCCGCGCGCGCCACCACAGATGTTCTATCATGTTAGAAAATGACGGTGCAACGGCAGAAAATATGTCAGTAAAACCAGAAAATTGAACATTCCTCGGTCCCGGAGATTTCGGTATAAACGACGGTCCCGCAGATTTCGGTATAAACGAACTTCTCTGTACTTCCTCTACCATAACATCAATAGAATCTATATTTGTGAGGCAGCGTGGTGGAATCAGGCTCTCGTCAATTTTTGGGCATGTAGAGTTATTTGTATCATCTTAAAGCTTGTTCACTTGTCTTTACTTGGATGAATAAAAATATCCATTTAGGCATTTGTCTTGAGTACAAGTCAAGATATTTGCGAAAGAAGGAGGTGGGGGTCACCTGTTTTCAGAGGTAAAATTAGTGAGAAAATGGCCGCCAAAGATTAGTTATTTCCTTAGCTTATTAAGAGTCCGTGGTAACTGAAAATTTACATTTTTTGTGCCTTTAATCAACATTTTTCAGAAAAATCCACACAGAAACGATGGGCATGAAAGGTGTTGAGCCAAAAAACAAAAATTTGATAAAAATTCACAAACCTGTGGAAAAATGCAAGTTTCTTCACTTTGATTATTTTGACGAGAGCCTGATTCTACCACGCTGTCACACATTTGGTTTGTTCACACACAACGACCTCCGCAGTGCTGGTACATTGGTACATGCTGTTAATGAAATATGTAAGAAGGAAATCAGAACCATGCATACCAGGCAAACATTGGAGAGGAACGTCAACAAAGTGAATTCAGCTCAGACCCCCCCCCCCCCCCCCCAGTGGCAATACTTGACAATGCACAACTACATGATGTACATCAAAAGAATTTATTATATATATATATATATATATCATTATCAATTATATACAGTCAGCTCTCTGCACCCAGAGGATTCACATTCCTGGATTGAAAAAACAAAAACAAAAAAAAACCAACAACAAAACAACTACAACATGAACTAGGCCTAAGCAGTTGTGTGTGGATACAAAATATATACCAACTTTTTATATCTTCAATTAATTTCAAACAGCTGTAAGCTGACAAAACGCCTTTTTACATTTTTGGCACCAAATCTTTTTCTTTGCTATATATATATATATACCAAAAGCCTGATCAATTAACCTACTTTGGTGAAAAAAATCAAAGTGAAACTGTGACTAGTTTTTGAATAAATTAGAATTCAAATTTCGGAAGAACGCTATTTCTAAATGGTTACACTGCCAAAAAGCCTCTTTATCTGGAAAACTGCAGCGATTCAAACAAAAGGCGTGTTGCTGGCGCGCAGCAGTCTTGTATTTGTATTCTATTTCTCCCACCAGAAGGCTTACAAACTTACATGACATGACAAAACACGCCATCTTGTTATTAGTTTCAGTTTATCCAAATATTATAACAACCATTTGATATAGCACACAATGTTGTACAAATTAATAAACATTATCAGAATGTGATTCAAGACTCAATGGTGCATGCCAAGTTATAGTATAGATAGACTTGAGCATCCAAAGATTCCTAAATCGACCCGGTTTAGTTTTGTTTTTGGAAAAAGTTTTACGACAAATCCAATGTAATAAGGCCATAGAAATGTGGAAGATTAAAGGTGTTATTTGAGAATAATATACCAAAAAAAAGAAAAAAAAAAAAAGAACGAGAAGATATAAGAAGAACAGACAGTTGGTAGGAAAAGAAAGGAGCAGACCACACCAGAGCACCCATGAACCACCGATTTCTTTCAGGTCAGGTCATGGAGCAACTGTCCTGTGGAGAGGAAAAGAAAGGAGCAGACCACACCAGAGCACCCATGAACCACCTATTTCTGTCAGGTCATGGAGCAACTGTCCTGTGGATGCAGAGAGCAGACTGCTTGAATGCCCGGCAAAGGAACTTTATATATATATATATATATATATATATATATATATATATATATATATATATATATATATACATACACATGTATATATATAACATGTACATGCGTCTAATCTTAGGAAAGTTCTTCTTCTAACTAAGAGTACTAAGACGCCATTGTAAACGAGAGAGACTTCCGTTCACAAGCAGAGCGCACTGATCCCACAGTGACTTGACGATGGATTCTCTTGAGTCTATTCATTGCACAGGGTACATGTACCCAGCTAGTTCTGTTCAAAGCAACGCTCATAAGACAAATCACCAGCACATAGAGGAAATAACAAGACATACTAATACTGCAAATGCAAAACAAACAAAAAATTAATAATAATCCGACATACATCATGAACATACAAATGTGTGTACTGCACAAAGTTTTATGAAGTGACAGCATTGCCAATGATACATAATTATTACTAAATAAAGAGATTTATAAACTGTAACTTGTAAATAATCATCTTGCTGAATTATTATCTGCACAGAAAGAAACAAGTGCAAAGGTCATAACCAAATGACATTATATATTTAAAAAAAGAAGTAAATTCACCCTGGTCGACCCTGTCAAAAACTGACAGCCCGAAATACAGGGGACAGGGGAGCCACTTAATCAGTTAAACCAAACACGGTGAATCCGAGAACAACGCCAAACCAAAAGAAAAGAAAATGCCAGACTTTTTCCTTCTTTTCGAGCTACCTCTTTAACTTTAAACCAAAACACCCAGATAAACCGAAGAAAATGTGGTAGTCCCGCAGGTTTCAGTTTCACCTCACTCACTATACTATAAGGTCTCACAGGTGCACACTGCGGCACACTTTTCCTCTTCAGTTTTTGTTCCTTTAATTGCTCTACTTCCTCCAAGGCTGCACAAAAATGGCTCATATTTATCTGATCTCAGGGTACACTCATTTCAACACTGATGTACCTGATCTCAGGGTACACTCATTTCAACACTGATGTACCTGATCTCAGGGTACACTCATTTCAACACTGATGTACCTGGCAGAGAGCAACAGTCAGCACTTACAAAATATTTCACAAGGATATTTCAAGTGTCACCCAGATAAAAGATAATAAAAAATGAAACTTAAAAGAAAAAAAGAGAGATGCACATTTAAAAATGAATTTAATAAAACAACATTATCCATCTATCGTATGCCAAAGACAAGCACATGGAGACTGCCATGATGTGGAAAGACAACTTTTTCCAAGAAGAAAGATAGAAATAATAAACAGAGCTAAAGGAAGAATCAGCAACATTTGGCAAATACAGCAAACTAGACAAGGAAACTACACAGATGGTGAAAGGATGAAATTGAAAAAAAAAAGACAATCAGATGAGAACTTTTTTCGTCTCAAAGATCAAACAAGAAAGAGAGGCAAATTGTCCCCCCCCCCCCCCCCTTCTTTCTATCAAGCGTCAGAAGTGAGGCAGAGAAGGCTATTTCACAGCAGTAAAACAATCAGCTTGGGTATCCCCCCAGGGAGCTATTGTGCAAGCTATGTCACAGGCAAAAGGCAAAGTTGTTTGTCATGAAGAGAGGCACATCAACAAAATCATGGCCATTTACAGCTGTGGTTGGAGGGGAGGGGAGAAGAAGACAATAGAAAGAAAAGAAAGCACAGACGAGAGTAAGTGAGTAAGTGACTGTGGGGCAGTAACTTCACCTGCGTCTGGTATATAATATTGTCAGTACAAAGTGAGAGGAGAACATGTTCGAATCACTTCTGTAGGCCTACCGGGAAAGTTTGAATATGAGTGAAGAGAAGCACATGGACACAATAACAGTCATTTAGTGCTGGCTGGGGAAAAGGCAAGACAGGGAGACAGAAATGACAGAAAGAAAACTAGTGGGACCTACTAGGGTGCCCTCTAACAGCCCACTGGACAGGGAAAGCAAAGTAAATGCTTTTGTGAAGCGAACCAAGGGACAAAGAGAAGGAAGAAGTCGGGCAGAAAAAAAAAGAGCAAGGTGTTGTGTCCACAAACTAATCCTGACAGCTCACATCACATACACACAAAACTACATGTTCTAAACCAGGGGTCCTCCATTTTTCAGTACATCCGCCATATTGCACACTTCATACTTTCTAATGGTGCTCATATGACATTATGCAGTTGCGAGCGCCGTAAAACCTCAACTTAAACTAAAATACTTTCTACATTTTTGTGTGCAGAAGTAAACCTGTTTTAAAAAAGAATAATCAAGATTTTAATAAAATAATATATCAATCAGGATCTTTCTGTGATGGCCACAGTATGGCAGAGAACAAATGACATTTACAAGACAGCAATGCCATGCTTTCTTTGACAAGCGACATGCACAGAATACAAATTGATTCAACAAGGGTGATAATAATATTCATAAATGCAAGAACATCAGGTCGCAACGGAGTAGACAAAATCTTGTGGCAGACAAGAAGTGGCACCAAGGCCCAAGTTTGAAGATCCCTACTCTAACTTGTAAAGGGCACCTCACAGGATGAAAATACAAGACAGAAACAATGCACACGACATTTCGAGAAAGGTGAACACATGACGCAAGCTTTAACACTACAACAAATAGCACCAATAAAGCATGACAAAACAAATGCCTCCAAGTAGCCTCAGCTAACTTTATATTTTTACAGGACAAAAATGGCGTATTCAGCTTCCACTGGCCAAAGAGAGTAATGACACTCAAGGCAAGCTTCTTTCCCTCAAAACAGTTTGTTCATCAGAGAAATCCACCCATTTCTCATTCAAAATGGAAAATCCTAAGCTTTAAAAGCAAATTTCAACAAAACATTTGGACACAGCTGGGGAAAATTAAGTCTCAGCAGATTTTTAAAACTACCTACAGTCAACATATCTCTGCATCCTCAATACTTTTCATACATTCAGAGTGTTCATAATACAGAAGAGTTGACAGGAGGAATGTTGAGTCGGTCGCAACCATCTGAAGAGGCCTATCATTGCTGTCACAAGCGATCCACAGAAGGCCAAATTTGGAGAATTTCTAATTTTTACATACTCCCAAAGCTTTGTCAAAGTTGCACCTTTCAACTTCACCAAAAAGCAGTTGAATGCTATGGTCAAGGCTTACAATTTTCTTTCTTTTCCTGATTCCTGAAAGGAATGTGAGACAGAGGAAAAACTAGAACTTTGTCTCTGGTGTAAAAAGTTACCACACAGACTCCCGCAGATTGCTTGCCACACTCATCATATTCTGAATCATTAGCTGTTAGCAACACTAAATGTGCATGCAATATATTATAATACAAGGAACCCACCAACAGAGTTGTTCTGATCTTTGCTTTTACTAATGCACAGGAAAAAATCCAGTCTCATAAAACTATAAATGAAAATGACAGTTTCTTTCAATTTCAATCACAAAATACGTTTTCCAAAGTCACACAGGCCAGCAAAAAGTTTCGGGTGTCGTTATAAAAAAAAAGGACTCATTTGGAGGGCAATGGCTCGGTCATCTTTGGACCAATTTCAACCAAACTTTGAACAGATAAAATTCAACCACAGGATGATGTCACATCAATGCTAAGAAAATAAACCTACTCAATGGACAAATATTAAGTTTCAACTGAAATTAGAGTGAAACGCAAAACTAGGCAACTTCTTAAAGACCAACCAATTGTGTCCAGTTAAAATAGTCCAAGACCGTCGTCCATTGGTCTGTCAAAAAAACTCAAAGGAAATAATAGAGGGGTTCAAATTGAGGGAACGTATTGAGCTACTTTTTGGGAAATGCGCCATATAAATATTATATATATATATTATTATTATTAGTAAGCTTTCTGCTTATACTTATAATTATAAGGCAGATCGCACATCTTTCTTGATATGTGGGGTGTGGCCCCAGTCTTCTACTCTTAAAATTTCTCCTACATTTTCCCAGGACGGTGAGATACATCCATATATGTTGTGACTAAAGGTCAGTCTACATCCTAAAACAAAAATTAGCTCATCATGTCCATGTTGCTGAATGCTTTCAAGAAGGAAAATTTTGCTTTTTACCCAAATTAAGTCGAATTTTTAATCCTTAAAAGTTCACAAACACTTGCCTTCATTGATTTTCTTCATTCTAACAAACCAAAAATCATCTACCAGAAAGTTCTCCCAAAGACTTGACATTCCACACAATATTAGTGTATCTCTCCAAAATTTAAAGGAATATTATATATATACGGACTTAATCAAAACATCCAAGAAACAATGTGTGAAGGAAGGAGAAAACTAATGATCTATATTTCAGACAGAAATATAACAATCAAGGTTTCAGACAACTAATACATTTTTTCTTAAATCAACATGAGAAGAAAACACCATGGAAAGACACTTGATAATCATTCAAATCTGATTTCCGACAAACTGCAGCCAATGCCCCAAAATAAAACCACCCCCTGTCACAACGGCCACCATGTTATCACAGAAAAAAAGTTCAGTTCAGTTCAGTTTGTTCATTTGGGCCAAAATGTCAAAAAAAACCCTTCGTGCATGACCCTCTCTCAGGTCATGCTGCCCCATTTGGAAAATTTATGTGCAAATGTGCTGACATTAAAAGTGAAATGCATCGTTATTTTTGTTAAAACCATTGAAGTGGGATCACATGTTTGTTTCTGTGACGGTTTGTTTTTCCACAGGAAACCGTAATTTTCACACAGGAGCAATCTTTATTGTATGTACGCCACAGTGAAGCTGTGAACACAAAAGCCTGTTGAAATGAGCCCAAGGCACATGTATTGAGTAAATAGAAAGAACTGCTGAAGTGGAAAATGGAACTGCTCAGGTTTGCCCTCAGCCCCAATATTAAAACAGCTTTGACATTGCACCCCCTATGAGCACAGACAAACTTTCTTTCCTTGATCACAGTCTCCCCCTTTCCCCCCCACCACAGTTGCAACAAAGGAATATAGAAGCTGAGAAAACAGCAGGTTACGGTCCACTAACCAGGTTTCTAAAATGTGAGATCAACTGACAGATCTAACTGCTGACTACGTCAACCACAAACTTAATGTGCAAAAACTGGTTTCTTAATTTTTGGGGTAGGATAAAGAAAATTTGTTCTCTTTCTACGAGCAAAAGTTTTTTCTTAGTTCACACTTTTGTTGGGGTACAGCTCTGAACGCATAGAAAACATCTCTTTGGAATAGTAATATTGCCGCTGCTAGTAAGTAATTTGAATTGAACTTTCCACTTATCACTTGTTAAGTAAAGTTTCATGTACACAATCTGAACATAGGCATGCTAGATCTGCCCTTTCCTTCTGTATTACTTTTGCTTATACTCAAGCAACACAGGGACAAAAGTTCCTTGAATAAATTAATGTCATTCAAGTAATGAAAATGTATGATTATCACAACTCTATGTGCAATGCATTTTAAACGTTCCTCACACAGATATGATTAACACACATATACGTGCTGTGACCTTCTTTACAAATTGGTGAAAATATTTGGCTTTCATAAAACAATAGGAGAAATGGTATATATAAGATTAAGACAACACACTTCAAGTCTTGTTCGCACTCTTCTAAAATATAATACTGACGCCTGGAAACAATCCAATTATTCAGTCTAACGCTTGTATGAGCTGTCATGAGCTGGGCTGGTGAAGGCGGGTGTGCAGCAAACTGTCAGTATTTTATCAAATCACCACCACAGACCACAGCAACACAGAAAAAAGGTAGACCACGCTAGAACGCCCATCGACTGAGGTAGCAAAACCAGCTCAAATTACAACTTTGGGAAAAAAATATTGTCTATTCCTCGCCAGAAAAAAATAATAATTATATAAGTTTTACGCCCCAATAGACACTGTTTAGATCATTTAGGTCCTCACCAAAGAGACAGACAAATACCTCACCACTTGAACTGGAAAGTGAATAGGCAAAGAGCACAGCAGAACAAAGAGGACAAAATAAATGTACCTCACTAATCAGACTTGACAAGGGAAGAAACCTTTGCCGCAGACTTCTGCAATCAACAAGTACTGAAAGAAGAAAGAAGGGAAATAATTCCACGTACTTTAGTTTTAGTAAGAGTTTTACGGCGCTTACAACACAATAAGGTCACATAAGAGCCAAAGATTAGAGGTGTTACAAGAGAGTAACAGACACAAAAAAGAAGGAGGAGAGATCAGGACAATAGATGTCTGATAGGAAAGAAGGAGCAAACCACACCAGAGCACCCGCCAACCACCCAGTAATTCCACGTATGCTGGCCACGAAAAAATACAATGTTTTTTTTTTGTTTGAGTAAAGAGAAGCACACCGACGAGATAACGGTCATTTAGTGCAGGGAAAAAGCAAAACAGACAGACAGACAGACAGAAATAGTAGAGGTCAAGAAAAGAAGCACAAATGTAGGACCTCCCAGTGGAGCCCTCCAGCCTCCAACACACCTGCTCCACTGAAAAAAAAGCAAGCAGCAGAGAAATAGGCTACACTAGTTTTTGTTGAAACCCAGCACAATCCTACTACTGGCTACTGCTGGGAGAGAAGAACGACTTGAGAAGGAGATAAAGAACCCAGTACAATCCTACTGCTGGGAGAGAAGAACGACTTGAGAAGGAGTAATAAGAACCCAGTACAATCCTACTGCTGGGAGAGAAGAACGACTTGAGAAGGAGATAAAGAACCCAGTACAATCCTACTGCTGGGAGAGAAGAACGACTTGAGAAGGAGTAATAAGAACCCAGTACAATCCTACTGCTGGGAGAGAAGAACAACTTGAGAAGGAGTATACAGAACCCAGTACAATCCTACTGCTGGGAGAGAAGAACAACTTGAGAAGGAGATAAAGAACCCAGTACAATCCTACTGCTGGGAGAGAAGAACGACTTGAGAAGGAGATAAAGAACCCAGTACAATCCTACTGCTGGGAGAGAAGAACGACTTGAGAAGGAGATAAAGAACCCAGTACAATCCTACTGCTGGGAGAGAAGAAGGACTTGAGAAGGAGTATACAGAACCCAGTACAATCCTACTGCTGGCTACTGCTGGGAAGCAAGAACAACTTGATTAAGAAGGAGTATAAAGAACCTCAAGGCATGGGCGAAACTCATACAATGAAGGGCAAATATAAAACATATTGATCGTGACAAAATAGCTTACTGACCTGACCGCACAGGGATCCACAAAAGAATAACAACTTCGCACATCCCCTACAAACAATTCTATGTGATAATAATCTACTAAAAAAACTGCACATGAACAATGCTGTTGAAACAAGAGCGGGTGTGACAATAGTGAACAATGGATTACGCAAAATGCCTCAAGAGAAGCCCTATGTCAATGACTTTTCATGAAAAACAGGGCACTGTTTGCAAAATTGTCTATATTGTTATGACACTGTGTATTATGTGATGTTGAACAACCTCTGAATTATATATATATA